GCATTAATAAAATGAGACTGTAATGAACATGGTAATTCTGATCACAGGGTACTGCAGGATAGCAGAGATAGGTGACTGCCGGCTCCCAGAAAGATTGTAAAAGTTGTGAGGTACTTCATTTTTTATTCTTTTAACAACTGCTGTAATAGCTCACATTTTTTGAAACAGACATATTATGCAAACATTCCTCTCTATTTCCTGATCCAGGGCCTTTTTTGTCTCTTCCAACTGCTCGCCGTGTTTTACTATCTTTGTAGCAGTCACCTTCGGGGAGCATATTTCTCTCCATCTTGCAAGAACTGACTTACTAAAATAGGCATGTCACCGAATCATAGAAAGTTAGAAGTGTTCTGACTGATCTGATCTCCAACTAAGGCTTCTCCGTGCAAATGCGGTTAAAACAGAGAAAGGAGGGGCAGAGGTGCACAAAGCATCATAGCTGTCTTGTCACAAAGCTAGAGCTGAAACTCAAATTATTTGAGAGCTGGACTCAGGTACTCTGCACTGTCATAACGGGATCATCACAAATGAGATTCTTGTACATGGATGAGATGAACATGTACAAGTATTATTTATTTACTGAAGTACATCTGCTAAGCGAGGTAAATAAAAAAATCTCCTATTTGGTCAGCAAACATTTTCAGACACTAACTGCACTTTGTTTGTGTTCCGTAAAGAAGCTAGTCTCCCCAAAGCAGGTAAGGGTAGCAGTGCCACACGTCATAACCTACTCAGTTGTGGTACTGATGGTAGATTAGAGGACAATGCTACCTGAGAACGTGCAAGTCTCTGAAAATAATTTACTGAACTTTAAAAAAATAGCCGATTACATGCTGGCTTGAGTGAAAAATAAAAAGTATATTTTTCTTTTTGTATCCTAAAAAATTAAATAAATAAAAGAAACCTAAGCACGAAATATGACATTTAGGCCAGGCATAGTGACATGAGCACCCTATATTCCCAGCCTTCTGGGAGGTTGAGACTGGAATATTCCAAGTTCAAGCCCACCTTTGTAACTTAGCAACTTGAGACCTCATCTCCAAATAAAAAGGGGTTGGGCATGTAGCTCCATGCAAAGCATTCGACTCAGTTCCTAGTGCCACAGAAAAGAAGGAAAGGAAAGAGGAGAGGAAGGCAGGGGAGGGGAGAGCAGGGGAAAGGAAGGCAGGGGAGGGAAGAAAAGATATTTTATCAGATATTAGAAGACAAAATAATTGAATTTTTGAGTTCTTTTAGAGAAAAGGATTTACGTGAGCAAGAAAAAAAAAAATGCTTGCCTCTCCCCTACCCCCAAACAAACAGGTGGTTCCAGAATTTTAGTAGGAAGAAAGTCTACAGCTGGTGACACTGCATTTCCCCTGCCTCAAAGCTGATAGCCTATATCAGAGAGAACATTTTCATCGCACTTATCCTCCCATGAATTTGTATCGCGCATTTTCCTGCAGATATCTCTGATCGGGAAGACACTGTGGCCTACAGACTAAAGATCCAGGTAGTGCCTATTTAATTTGAATGAAAATCCTTCTTCTTAAGAAACCTTCTCTGATCCTTTGCTTAGCCCTGCCTGGAGGTCTATGTCAGATCTGTTGTTCTCACCCAAGTTTTACAATTAGTCAACGCTTAGCCCTTAATGACCTCTCAGTGAGTCCTGCCACCTTCACTTACAGCTCTGCTTTGAGGGAATACGTGTGCTTCACAAATACGCTCAGCCTCCGAATGTGCTGGGTACCTGGGGAGCCAGGATTTTCTTGTATTTCCCGTCAAGACAACTAAAAAATGAAAAATGTCCAGAAGTCATAAGCATCACATTAAATGTCCCTTTTTCCACTTCTTCCTCCATGAATACTCTACAGTGTGAATGGTTAATTACCCAAATATCTCATTCCAGAACAAGCCTGGCCCTGAGCTTGTCGCTATCCTTCTTCACAAAAACAGTGGTTGAGAGCCATGCTAATGCGAAGCTAGCTACTGAGGGAAACTCTTCCCTGAAATGCTCCTCTCTATGCACATGGGTGGTCAGAGTATTATTTCAATGTCTTCTGTGTTAGCCACGCAGGTCATATGTTTCAGTCTCCAATTAATTAGGTTCTCCAGCAGCCTGTGTGAAATAAATGAGTGATCTGCATCCAGCCCACTTAGATAAAAGCCATCATGACATGGCACATTTTTGGCATGTGTCAGCAGAGTGAGGAAAAAATAAGTGACCCATGGAGACAAACGGGCATCGGATGAAGGCCACTGTACAGAAAGTGTAAAGTGGGCTCCACCTACCGTACAACCAACTGCCTGGGTATTTGCCAACATAATTCACAAGATAAAGCAAACTTAGGATGGACACAACGCTCATCAACTATGATATGAACCTAACCGTTCATGTTTGAAGTCTGTAAAAACCAATTAACCATGGAACATTTTTAATACTGTTGTTAACAGAATTATTGACATTTAGAAATTTTTCAACAAAGAAGTATCTCTAGGAAACAAATTCTAGCCTCATTTACTCTACCTGACAAGGATATATGCAAGTACTCTGCATTAAGGTTATGTTGAGACTACTTTTCCATTATCTAAAATTTACCTTTCAGTTTCTCTCACAAAACATTCCCAAAGCCACTAACTACAATCTTTTAAAAAAGGCTAGGTTCATTGCTCAAATCATAAATTTTCATGCAAATGCATGTGTGCATAACAGATATTCACATAAAAATAAAGATCACATTAAATTGGTCAAATGTGTTTGTTTTCGTGAGGACTGTGTAAAAATGCATTAGATGCAGGAACTCTGGCTACCTGGCATGCAGGGAAATGTAAACCCATGAGGATTTCTCAGTAAGGTGTTATTTTTGCCAATTTTTTGTTTAAGTCTTCATAAAATGGATAAAGATTAAGTCAAGCAAATGACTACTACTATTTCCTTTCAAGGAATTCTAGGGCTTTAATGCTGCACATAAAAACTTTCTGACAAATTTCATTTTACTTTTGGGGTATACTGTCCACCTCCTTCTAAATGGGGTGAATCAAAGTAACGCCTTTAATATCAATTATCAATTTGACTGGATCACAAGAATTCTGCAAAACTGATTGGACTGTGAGGGCACTGATCTCATCAACAGGGCAAGAAGCTCATAGCTGAAGGAGCAGTTAGGAGATGGAACCCAGTCAGAGGGAGTTGGTCATGGGGCATGAGCTTGGGGACAAGATCTAGTTCCTGGGTTCTTCCTCTGATGCTCTTCCCGTGTTCTCTGCTCTCTGGACACTATGAAGTAAGCAGCTATACCTTATTCCATACTTCTGCTAAGACAGTGAGCCTCCCTGCAGACTCTCAATAATGGGGTCTGCTAGCCACGGACTGAAACCTCCAAACTTTAAGCCCAATAAACCTTTTCCTTCTTTAAATTGACTTGTCAGACATTTTATTCTAGCAACAGCAAAGCTGACCAATAGAAAGAGGATTCAAAATTTTCAAAGATCAACAAATGAGTCTGATTCTATTCCAGATATGAATATGTAATAAATAACTCTACATAGTATATAACATAGCATGAATAATAAGCTTCTAAGAATCCTTCCAATTCTAAAACAGATTATTACTCCTATTCACTCTTTCCCCTAATATGTATTTTGCTGCTCCCTGATTTTATTCCTTCTTTTACCTACGCATATGATTTAAATGCATGTATTTTAAACTAATTTATACAGTTTAATTATCTAGGCACTGACTATGACTTATAACCTCAATTTTTCTTCTTCTTCTTTACCGTCCCTCAGGTACTAGATGTGATTCAATGTTTCTGACCAGCTTTTATGGTAGGCTTCCGTGCTCTGCAGTATTGCACTGTTAGGAATATTTTCTCCTTATCTCAAATCCACGAGGTGAATTTTATCCACATTACAGACAACTTCACTCATCCAAATAAACAGTCTCTTAACAATATTAACAAAGTGTTCCTTCTTTGGAAGGACCAAGATGTAGAAGCAAGTGTTTGGAGGCAAAAAAAGAAAAAAAAAAAAAGAAAAACTTTTATAAAAGATGCAAAGTAATACGTCACTCAATATATAGAAAAACTGGAACAGAAGACAAACATTGCTAAACCTTATATGTTCCTTTATGATCAGTAAACTGCGATCCCATCTTTAAAAGTCCTTTCATCTTTAAGAAAAGTCTATTCTCCTAAATTTTAGAATCAAGTAAAAAGGAAGCTCAACACAAAACAAACACGAAGAAGTGACAGAAGAGGAAAAAGATAAAGTTATAGAATTAAGTGTGGAAAGTCAATTGCTAGATAGCCAATCAGCCAGTGTTCTTAACACTATGCAAAAGACTAAATTAAGAATACACAACAGAGGACTACCCTAACCATCCTTTAATCTCTCACACTGTCATGGTAAAGGAAGTCTAAAAACTGATCACATTGCAAGTCATCCCAGGCTTTGGTCAAATTGTACAAGCAACACAAAGCCCTGAAACCAAGTGATATTGATTCAAGATAGATTAAAGACTAAAATGAAAAGATTATTTTTGACATAAAAGTTCTTGTGACCAACTGCTTGCTTAAGAGGAGCATGCCTTTCAAAAGAGATTGTTCCTTTAATTTTGAAACATCAGTGTTAGCTACCAAAGTTTATAAAATCCAGCTGTCTAACCAAAGTATGGGGGAAAACCCATGGATAAGTAATGCAAACAAAAGAGTACCATGAAGCCTTTCTAGGTATTCTAGCCAAAATCAGAATAGTTTTTTAAGACATGACTTATGGCATGTGAAATCAACGCTCTCTTTCATTTTCCTTTCTTTTCCTGATTAGCAATTCTAAAAAGCTGGTAACAAGAAGGCATGCATTATCTAATTAAAGTTTGATCCTCATAAACATTGTACTCAATGTCATTTTCTGTTTCAGTATCATCACAGCAATACTAGTCCTTTTAATGATCCGAAAGAGAACACCTCAAATGCAAAACTGCAACAACAACACCATCAACCACCTTGTACTTGGGAACTTACCACGTAAAACTGTGAGTCTGGTGGAGACACTTATTTCTCCTACATTGTTGGAAGCCACGCATTCATAAATAGCCTCATCCCGTGGAGTCCGCAAGGGTTGTATTCTGAGAACTGATCCAGATCCATCATCAAATTCTATTACCTATTAGAGGAAATGATAGCTGTCACAGGTGTTGTTATAATTGTCTACCTCTCAGCTAAATCCCTCACTGCAGTGGTCCACCACCCAGTAGGCTTGGAAAGGACTTAATATCCTTCCAAGACTAAATTTTGATTCAGTGGTAAAGCATAATATCTGATCTAATTTAATGAACTCTAAACAAAAAGAAAGACATAAAACTACATATGCAAAAATATAGATTTCTAATCCTGCCTAAAAACTACTCAGGATTCACTCATGGGAATATTCCAATTAGTGTTTCTAGGACAATTTAAGCTTATTAATTCTGCAAGAGACTTGAAGTTATGAGGGAAAGACTTCCCAAGTTACTTTGACTTTGACAGCACCTATACACAAGTGGATCCATTTCATAACTGGACTATGAAGTGAAGAATTAATGCATGTCACCACAAATACCACTGCTCTTTAACTTGTCTCGTCCTGAACAGTATAGCTGAGCGAACCATGAAAAGAAACTGCATAAATCTAGTACTTAGGCAGCCAACATAATGGCTTTCACATGCCAGAAGCTTGATGGCGTGAATCAGTTTTGCCATAAATCATTACAGTAATTGTTCTAGTTTGGCATTTTCTGCATTTTTAAGGCATTCTTGGTATAAAATGGAGGCTAGCTTCACCAGGCAGAAAATTAATATCCTGAAAACCAAGCCTGAATTCACTATCATTGTAAACTCCACTGGGAAACAACATGGTAACACCAGTAATCCTGGACACCGGCAGCTAATCCAAGTGTTATTTCTTTATTGCCAAAAGATGGCAATGATGGTAAATAGATATATACAATGATGGCGTCCTTTATCTGTCGTTCTATAACTGTGCTGTGTTCTACCAGCTACTCACTGAAATGCTGTGCTTTGTTTTTCACATTCCCCGTGAATAATATTTCCATGTGCCTAAGTGTGGATAAATTGAGAGTGTCTTATAAATACAGTTATGGGATGCTTATTCTCAGTTTTTGTGTGTGTTGATGTTCAACCCAAGAGGAAGGACAATAAATATTTTTAAAATATGTCATTTTAAATCCTTTGTGCAGTCCATGTTCATTCTAGTTCATGATATCCAAAATGTTCCATTTCTCAATGTGCCTCAATTTATCTTCACCTCTATGAAGCACGTGTTTTTAAATGAATCTACTACACATCTTAGAAGATAAAACCTTCATAGTTCAATTTTTGTTCAACATTGCATGTCTTAAAAAACTATGAGTACTCTGTGCTTCAAAGTAGAAAAAAGAATTTAAAACCTCTAATATCAATTTAAACTTAATTAACTTTCCTATTGTTATATTATTTTGTTTTTCTGAGACAACATTGTGCCAGGTAGTCAAAGACAGCCTCAAACTAGCGATCGACCTGCCTCAGCCTTCCACTTGCTGTAATTAGAGGCACATGCCATCATAATGGGCAAGTAAAATTTGATTAATTTAAAGCTAAATGTCATGATATGTTTACACTTCTAAACTATTTCCTACATTGAGACCAGTCTTACAAGAAACACATACACCACACATTCCAAGCTCGTGCTGGAACTTCCAATTGGAGAATATTATCCAACATCCAGTATTGACTGTATGCATACCATGGTCAGAGGCAGTATTTGACACAGTTGGTCTCATGTATAGCTATCATAGGCCTTACAGACAGATATTAAAGATTTTCAAGACTGGATACCATTTGAATTAGGTGCATTGTGTAAAAGCAATTTTCCCTGTATGTGTCTGTATGACTCACACTAGCAAGCAACAGAGCTCATGCTTTGAAATGTTTAACACTGTAACTTTATCTTATTTATAAGACTTTGTCACTAGCAAGCACATAAAGCAGTACTTGTCTTTGACAAAAAATAATTTCATCTAAAAAAAGAGTACCCAAAGATATATACACACACGTCACCTTATATATGGTGTAGGAGATATCTCCTAAAGATTTAAGGTATTCTTATGTTTAACTACAGTAACTGATTCTCAAATAAACAGAATATAATTTACTACCTATAAGTCACAGTCCACATTTCACATTTTGCCATTATAATTACTTCAGTTCTTTTACACATTTACACTGTATATCACCAGGGTAGTCTGTGAAAAATGAGTACAATCATGCAGCTCTTGATTTTGTAGTCACTCTTTAAACTAGAAATTGCCTTTAATCTGCCAACCTGTGAATGAGGCCATGAAGTAGATGAGCAACTCAGGCAAAAATACAGCGAGGTACACTGGGGGCACTTTAGTGTTTGGGGTATCCCTGAAAATCAAGCTATCCTCTTCATGTTTTAAGCCACAGATGAGATACTGTGTTTCGTCCATGCTTTCTCTGTGCAAATTAATGCTCATTTTTTTGTCCTCTAGAATAAGCAAATGTCTAACTCATAAGGCTCTTCACAGGCTCAAAGAATATCTGAAGTATGGTCATTCTTCAACGCATTGAGCTTTCCAAATAAAGAAACGTAATTCCTCCAATAAGTTTACCTGCAGTGTGGATCTGGTTGGGTGTGCAACCTTCAGGGTAGGACTTTATGCTAAAACTCTGAAGCAAACTTCTCTTTCTACTTCACAGGCTTTCAAACACAGGTGTGAGGTGTAGGGACACTTGCTGCTACCTCTCTTTCTGCTCACTTCTTGTGAGAAGCTTGAAATCCCTTCCGAGAAAATGCCACTCCCCCTTTCAAACAATGGGACTGAATGAAACTGAGGTATATTCTGATGGGTTTGAATTAATTAGCCTAAACCGCCCACCTGTCCACATAGCTTGGTTCAGGGCTGAACATGTAACTCCATAGGAGGCAGGCGGGTTGGAACCCTTAGTTTTCCTGCATCCTCTGGACTCGGTCACGTGAGGATGTAACAGCCTGAGGGTCATACTTGACACAGGATCCTGACAACAGTGAACCCTGGCACAAGTGGAGGTAAAAGTCATCCACTTCCATTCCTAAATTCTCCTGTCTAAAAAATTTATTTAAAGTTACATTTTCCATCACATGAAACATAAAGAATGTCATATCTCAGAGATTTGGACATCCTTTATCAGAGTAAAGCAGGTAAGTAACATACAAACCAACCACAGAGCAGACACTTCCCCCAGAGAAACAGAACAATGGACCTAATACCTCAAATCTCTGATTGCTGACTTTCTTTCCTTTTTTGTTCCAGACAATTTTAGGCCTTGGGTCTCCCATAGCTTGACAAATGAAAGACGCAACTCCACCAGAGACCCCTGTCTGATCGACGGGAGTTCTTGTAAACCTTGGAGGTGCTGAAATGAGAAAAAAGAAAAATACCACAATTCAATGAAGAGCTGACATACAATTACCCTACTGTCCCCTCTCTCCCCACAGTCCACACCCGTGTACACACATATAGGAATACACTGGGGTTACAAAATTAGACAAGCACCTTCCACTTTACAGGGGAAGGAGGTAGCTTTCTGGTCTAGTCATTTGTTAGTGCTTTTATTGCTGAATTCTGTATTAAGGCAGAGATCCAATAACATCCGAAAAGCAACATCACACATTAATTTTTATTACCAGTATTAAAAAAATCCAATTTGTCCTCTGTAACAAAATGAGCTCATCAATCAAAGTGAGTAAAATTTTAGTTCTTTGTTTTGATGCGACTATCAGGACCCTGCCAGAAAGCAGCACTGCCACTGCTGAGCTATTAAAATTAGTGACATTTAAGAGAAATTCTTGGAAATTTTAATGAGACAAGAATTATGCCCCTGAATTAGAGGTTTGGGAAGAAACAGAAAATGGTAGAAATGGGAAAGTGACTTTCTAACACAGACACTGCAGACTGCCTTACTGGGAACTTAATGCCACAATTTGCAAAACTAAAGATGAATCAAGGAGACCACAAAGTCACAGCAAAAAAGGATTTATTTAAATAAAGGTAAAGACTTAAAGATTACTAAGTGAGAAAGACTAGAACCTGGAACCTGAGCACACTTGACTACCTCAGCTGGTAGTCCAGAAGACTGCAGAAGCTGGAACCTTTTTAAAAGCCAGACATCTTTTAAATATTTCTAATATTCACTTTCTTTCCCTTAAAAAATTTATGTTACGTCTTCTATTTCAAAATCTTTAGAAATATATCATACAATGATGACCTAAATGTAGATGAATAGTTATGCACAAAGATATATCATTAAGCAAAAGATTATAAGTAGCTTACATTTTATTTTATTTTATTTTTTTTGGTTTTTCTCCGGTACCGGGAACCGAACTCACGACCTTGCGCTTGCCAGGCAAGCGCTTTTGCCGCTGAGCTAAATCCCCAGCCCCGTAGCTTACATTTTAAAGACCACAGAAAATGAATGGTTAAATGAACTTTGCTATTAATGATGGAACACTGTACAACTGGAAAATGTTGTATTTAGAAAGGATTTATCAGGTGTGCGAAATATGTATGATTCACTGATAAGCCACAAAAAATAAAGCAGAATTCTTTTTTTTTTTTTTTGGTACCAGGAATCAAACTCACAAATTCATGCTTGCCAGGCAGGTACTGTGATACTAAGCTACATTCCCAGCCCATAAAGCAGAATTACAACTAAGAAATATCTGACAATGAAGAAAAATACACACACACACACACACACACACACACACACTTGGACAAAGCATACTAAAACAATGATGTGGAATATGTTATTTTAATTGCTTTTTCTACTTCTTTACATCTTTCTTATATCCTTGACTTTTATACTTGTGATATGTTGAAGATTTTTAACTCAAGAACGTTTTATTTCCTTTCTTTTGTCCCTTTCAGAGATTTTCTTTTCTCTCCTCCTGTGTTTTAGGTATATCTCATTGGAAAATGGTTTTGAGTAATTACAGCCAGCATTTATTTGAAAGCAACCCTTAGATTCTCAGAAAAGAGAAAACAATGACAACGCTCATGTTTGTCCATCATCACCGTCCCTGCATTCTTTCCTGTTTCCCACATGTCATCCACTGTCCCTGCACTAAGGACAAACTATCAACCATACTGTTATCTTGTGTTTTGGATACATAGATATGGGGAGTTCTGAAAGGAAACAAAGTCATCTAACTTTACTATTTCTTACCTGTGAAAATGAAATTTGGAATAAACTACTCTGGACAAATACCTTACAGTTAGAAAGTTTCCTAGTTTAGTATATGGTGAGCATGAAGAGAGGAGGGAGGAAGAGAGGAGCGAAGAATCTCTACAACGACAGTCCTAGAAAGCTCATCTCTACTTCATCAGCAAACTCAAATTCTTGGTAGAAAAGGGGGCCCAGGGCAGTTCACATAGAGAAAGATGAGGAAGGAAGACACTGGATTAGCCCTGCTAGACAGCACATCCTGCAAAAGATCTGGTTAGCAGTGCAAACTAGATGATCACCAAAAGCTGTAGCGTGTACATAAAATGATATGAAACTGACTAGCAACAACAATTAAAACACATAATAATGATGTCACTTCTTTGGAAACAAACAAAAGAGATAATAGTAGTTTTAATGCTCCTCTTCCTGATGTTGCAAACAACACAAATTGATAATAACCACTCACTCGTCAGCGTCTAATATAGAAATTATAATTATGAAATTAAAATTCCTAGGAGATATCCATGGAAAAATAAAACACATTTCATTGCTGTATTAAATGGCACGATAGTGTCAATTTTAGTAACTTTCTTCTACTGCCCATATTCTAAAAACAGGCAACCCTGAAGGAAAAAATCCATTTTCACAACCTAGCTTCCCATTTAAGCATTGTTTTGAAATTTCCTGGAAAGCCTGTGAAGGGAGTGAAGAACTGTTTCATGAACTGATTTTGTTCTGGTAGAGGTTAAATAAACCTAAAGGAAGGATGCCAATTACCATGAACTGGAGCTGTACTTTAAAGGATGGTATTCTAGTTCTCATCTCAAAGAATAAAGGAAATGTGGAGATTTGTTCTATTCACAGAACAGCAATGGATACTTGGGAAAGTGTTTTGTTTGTCCTGCTGGAATATCCCAAGGAAGTTAAACAAGAATTCAATACTGAAATCTTATCTCTAACTGGAAAGCCAAGGAGACAGGTTCACACGTATCAAGGGAGAGGGTGCAATGACCCTGTCTGGCAAGTTTCTCACTTAGCTGCATCTTCTGGATATATAGAAGTTTAGATGCTAATTCTGCTAAGTGTGGGAAACTACCACGGACAAGATCACCGGAAGCTATGAGAAAGATTTTGTTTCTGAAAACCCAAGTCAGACAATGGAATTAATGCACTGAAATGTGGAAAATTTAAAATTCATTTAAAATGTGGAAAATTTAAATTAAAATAACCAGTTAGAATCTGTTTCAAGATCTGAGGCTATTTTTTTAGTAAACCCATGTACCTACACTGTAGTTGTTTACTGACCTGGTATTCCAAAATGCAGTCTTAAAAAGGGTCCTTAGGAGGAGAATGGGGGGACTTCAGGTGCTTGTTCGCAGAGCTACCTACTTGTTTTGTGAAAAACATTTTTAATGAAAGATATTATCATTCATAGACAAGTAAATGATGATTTTCTTATGGGATCTGATGTCAATTTTTCTCCATTTGCCCACAAAATCCAAACCAGAGAAATGATAGACATCATCATTCGATAATACAAAGTAAAAGTCCAGATAATATAGTAGAATCCTTTTGGTAAGCTTGTGCGGTGCATAAATAATCATTTTGGCTGGTCAAATTCTCAGACTGATGCTGTCCATGCTGGGCAGCCAGCCAAAGAAAAGATTTGAGCCAGAGCAAGAACTAAAGTTAATAACTCCAACAAATGCTCCAGGCAAATAGAAGTCGTTATTCTCAGAGGGGTCTAACAATACACAGCACCCACATCTCCTTTATCTCCACTTAATAAAAGGAACTAGTTAAAACCTCTGCCTTCTTTCGTCAAGGTTAATGCCCACATTTAAGTCATGTCCTGGAGAAGGGAAGAAAAAGAATTCAACCAAAGCATAAGACAAATATGTCTACTAAAATGTCATGAAACAAGAGAGCCTCAAATCCGAACAGTGAAAACCTCTAATTTTATTTCATGAGATACAATCGTCAATGTCATATTTGATCTAAGGAAAAATTACCAAGAGTACAAAGATGAGGACAAAGGCATTACAAATTTCTGGTCACAACTATTATCACTCTATTCTATTAATGCCTTAGCTAAGTGCCACTTCTATCCCCACAACTGTGTTGCTAACTGCTACTGCTACCCACCTGAAGCCTCCAACACTGTGCTTTGCAAAGCACAATTCTGCTCAAGCTGATCTGACAAATGCAAAGTATGATCTTTTATTAAACAATGCCAGGCAATGTAGAGGTCAAATTACTATTTAAGCCAGAAAGTCTATTTTCTAAATGGAAAGAAGAGAAGCTAAACATGCGTATGAGTCAGAACACAGGCATGGCTGATATTCTAGAATGTGTCTGCCATGGTCACTGGATGTTTTCAAAGACCATACATTCTCTGGATGCAATCAGAGAGTAGACAGTAGCTCTAAGAATACAGTCAGGTTATTTTCTAAATAGTGAAAGAGGAGCCACTGCCTACCAAATGAATTCTCTTTTTAAGAAGTTGGATTGCTCCATAAAGCATAAACATGGCACATTACTTTTGCATGTAATGATGGAAACTTTTGATGCCATATTGTCTTGGTTACTTTTCTCTGGCTGTTGGGAGAAAATACCTGATGCCCAGAATAAAGGAAGGAAAAATGTATTTAGCTCACTGTTTGTGGAGGTTTCAGTCCATACTTGGCTGGCTCTGAGGCAGAGTGGCATATGGCAGAGGGCAAGCGTTCAAGGCGGCAGAATACAGCAAAAACAACAAGAGCAAAAGGGAGGAATGGCAGCAGCCTCTTTCCCTTCCTGCATTGTAAACAGGCTACCCCCACCCAGAGGGCATGTGGCACTCACATAATCTCCCTGCCCTCCTCTTCCACAGGCTCAGGAGGTATACAAAGTAAGCAGCCTGACTCCCTGCCGAGTAACTTAGTCAAACCTCTAGACTTCCCTAGTGGGCACAATGCATCAACCATAACACATATCATATTTCAAGTTGGGGGAGGCTTTTTGAAGGCAAGAACCTTTCTGGTCCTTCACTATGCCCTTATGACAATTAAATTTAGGGGAGAGACCAATCAAGACCAGCAGGCTGTTTTTGACCATCCTTAACCAAATGGCTACTGGAAGCAAAAATCATCTATCTAATACATCAAGTAGAGCTCGATATTAATTGAAAAAGCATCACTGACAAATAT